ATTATTGGATATATCATGAACTTATGAAAAAAGGTAAAAGTTGCGCTACCAAAAATCTTTACGAAAAATTTTTGAATCATTTATATTCTAAAGGCATACAAAACCAATGTAAATCATATGGGGATAATTTTACTTCCTATGATAATTTTGAAAAAGGCAAATATTTATATGAAACATCTATATGTCTGAACACTATAGAACATAATGAAAAAATAAGAGAAGACGATCAGTTTTGTTATGTATTAAAAGATATTATTAAAAAATATAATGAAAAAAATATAACTGAATTATGTAATTGTGATAAACAAGAAATGTCATCATCTATGCAATCTAATATTAAGGGTAATATTATAATTTCTATTCTTGTTACATTAGTAGTATTACTGTTGTTATTTATTGTTCTTAAGGTTAGTAATAATATGATGTAAATATATTTTTACAGTAAAATAAAAATTTAAAAGTATTTATAATTAAACATATTAATCGTAAGAATAATGTATTTTTTTATACATATATCTTTTTTTTAATATGAAATAGTATAACTCATTTCTTACAAGATTACCATATAAATTAAAACGTAAAATAATGGGGTTCAAAAGTAATGATGAAGAAATAAATATGTTACATCAATATGAAGAATTTAATAGTATAACAATGAATAATGGATATAATGTAGTGTATAATTAAGATTAATTTAGCAAAAGAATATAGCTTAAATTCATATTTTGCTTAATATAAAGAAGGTGTAATCATAGTTATAATGAGTATTTATATAAATTTATAATAAAAATGAAATAATTTTAATTGTTTAATAAAATGAAAAGGAATATAAATTGATAAAATTGATGAGAATTTTGTTTCTCTTACATTATATGTGGTTATATAGAAATGATTTGTTATAATTACAGGATTAAGTTTCAGAATTACGGATTTAATTGAAAATTTAGAACTATAATTCATTTTTACGATTTATGAATTATGATTTGGAATATATTTATGAAATCTGAATCAATTAAAATTAATGATTTTATAGTAATTTTTTGTTTCTGTGTTTTCTAGTTTCTAGGATTTAATAAACTTGTTTTTTTTTTTTACAATATAATGCATTGTTTTATTAAATGCAAATATAATAATTTATATAATCTAATATGTGTTACTGTATTCCAAAAACTTGTAATATATTTAAGGTAAGTGTAATTTTATCATTAACATAATATATATATTTATGAAATGAATGCTCTGTTTTAAAATATAATATAATTATAGATGTAAAAAATAAATGTAAGCGCATATGTATATTTAAAATATATATTACCATTCTAAATATTATATAAGTATCATGTATTTTTTTCATTTATAAAATATTTATTATTTGGGTTTTTGTATAAAATAATTCATAAAAAAAAATATATAAAGGTTATTTTTAAAATTACTGATTTATAAAATGTAATGTGTTTGTTTACATTGTACAGTTAATTGTTAATAAATAAATTAAATTTTATATAATTTGTTAAAATATTTTTATTTCATTTTATTTTTTTTGTATACACATATAATTAGGGATATAATTCCAAGTTATTTGAATGGCCAATTTATTTATTATAACGTAATAATACATGTGAAATATACTTGATTTAATAAATCAAAGAAATCTTGACTAGATAATGAATATTTAGGTGGTTGATTAATATTTGTATTTTTTATCATAATGTTACTTTTAAAATATGAACTAAAGTTCATGCATTAATTAGAAATTTTATATAAAAAACTATAACCGATAGTTATTCTATATGATAATTCGTAATGATTTATATATCATTCATGATATTTTTTCACAGAACCATCCATATTGTTATGAATTTTTCATCATTATAAATTATCTGGTATAAATGAACATTAAAAAATTATTAAATTTGAAAAAATATACTAATTTTCCTATACTTTCATAACTGTATGCCGTTAATTGAACTATTAATGAAAAGAAAATTGTACATTTCGTTATTTTTGAGTACAAATTTCAGTTAATATATATTATCACAAAAAAAAATATAAGAATTATTAATTTTCTTTTTATTGCAATACAAAATATCAATAGAAATTTCAAAAAATCTTGTATATTAATGAGTACCATTTATTAATTATTATATAATGTCAATTAAACAGATAATTATTATTGTATATATTGAAAAATTAAATGAATGGAATAATATATATGTAAACATCTTGTGTATTGTATTAACTTATTTATAAAAATATTAATATATTAGTGTACAAAGGCCATATAAATATATATAATTATATTGTCTCTAATAAAAAACAATATATTAATTATAAAAGTATAATTATTAATAAATATATCATAATTTATTATTTCCTTATTTCGAGACCATATTTTCATCATGTTATAATGTAATTGTTTATGTAATGTAATTTATGTAGTAATAAATATTTATATATATTATCACTTTAAAATTTTGGGAAAATCCTAGTATATTTTTTCATGCTTTAGTAATCAATAATAATTCTCTTATTTTCCGTTTAAGGATATCCATAATTTTGAGTAAGATAAGGTTAATTATAATTTTCATTTTTCTCTATATTATTGATGTTTTCTTCCTCCTTCCTATTTGTCTTAAATATTAAAGGATGTATATTGTAAAATATTCTTGTTAATTAAATAATAAATGAGAAAAGCAATAATTGTTTTTTGATAAAATTGATTAATTTCATTCTCATAAGATACAGAATATGTCTATTAAAAATAAAAATGATTATAAATATAATATTGGAACATTAATATTCTTCGTGTGATATTTATTTAATTTTATACAATGTTAGAAGTTTTATATATAGTATTTATAGGCATAATAAAATTTACATAATTTAATATAATATATTTCCTTAAGAACCATCATTTTTTATATAAGAACAATAAAGTTTCTAACCATGAATCAGTGATTCTTAATATTCACACCTAAACCTACATATGAAATACATATATTTATTATATGTACACACATATCAATATATTTATAAAGAATTAAATAAATAAAAATATATGATAGGATGAAATTATTGATTATAAGATAATACATTCCATACCATTACTTATAGTGAATAATTATTCTATAATCATAGTTTTATATGTACAACATGATAAATATAATGTTATTCAATGTAAAATAAATTATATTAAATTAAAAAAAAATTTGTTAATGTGAAATCTTATATAATAAAACAGGAATTCTATATTCCCCTAAAATAATATTATTACACCGTTTGTTATATTTTGTATAGTTTATTAATAATATATATCTTAAAATTTCCTCTACAATATATAAAATAATAGAAATGCTATGAATTTAATATTTTTCATCATTTTGATTACAAAAACATATACAATAAAAAATAACGAGTATTTTTTTTAATTAACTAGTAAAATGGCATAATATATGACAATAAGGTATGAATTAAAATGAACGTTTTCAACTAATTGTTTAAATCATTATTTATATTAATTTTAATATATTGTTAATTCAAATGAAATTTTATAATAAAAAATAATTATAAATTTAATATAAATAATTTATTTATTCTTATGATTTTCATTTTTACATATATTTTTATGGTTTATTTCTTAATTGACGAAAATAATATAAAGAAATCAAATACTTTTGATATATTTATAAAAATTATAATACTCTAAATAGAAGCAGACAAAAAGTTCTAAAAGAATTTATTCAGATATTCCAATATAGTGAAAGTATATTTTTAAAGGCCTTTAACATATCTTAACTTAAAATTAGATACAAAAAATATATAATGCTAGAAATGGAATACAAATATATAAAAAAAAACATGAGCCCTATTCAAGAAGATTAAAAACCACATTTATTAAATATTTTTTAATTTTTGGTATCTTCAGCAATTAAATAAGTGAATATAGTATTATATTTATCTTACATAATATTTAAATATATATTATTAAAAAATAATTGATCATATTTAAAAGGAATACATTTATTGTACTAAAAATGTTGTATTATGCAATATAACATTAAGGAAAATAAATGTATATGATTTATCTGTTTTTATTATAACCTAAATTTATATTATACTAATAATTAATGTATAACTATTAATTTTTATATAATTTTCTTAAATACCATTTCAAATAACAATTGCTGTATATAAAATTATGCTAAGCATATGATTTGTCACAGTAAACCATGTTTTTATATTTCATTATCTTAATTTAATTATTAAGATAAATATATAAAAATAGTGTATTTACTATATAAAATAATAATTTCATTCCTTTTTTCTTAAAAAATATGCTCTAACGAATTTATAGTATAATTAAATAATATGAAATAAAAATAACTATCTATAATATATTATGTGTGTTCTAATATGGTAAATGATGAATTTTTATAACATGTATAGGTAAATAAAATATATATTTCTTATAGATTTTACACTAAAATATTAATCCCATATAAACTACTAATGCAATGAATTTATAAGGTTTTTAAATATTATATAATAAGGAATCCTTCATTATAATATATTATAATACATAAATATTTTAATTCTTTAGAAATTATTATTAAAAATAAAAATAAATTTATTATATGTTATTGTTATTCATGTAAAATATATATGCATTACACTTTCGCACAATGTACATTGATATTTTAATAAAAATACACATCAATTTTCTTCATGTGAATTATAAAAATATTATTCTGAATTTTAGTTTTACATGTATGGGATAATTTATTTTTATCTTTAAACTTTTTTACTTACTGCATTGAATATATATTTTATGTATTTTATTATTTAAAATTCTATATACATTATTGTTTATATTAAGAAAATATAATTATAATTTATAAAACATCCTAAAAAAAGAAAAAAATCATATTGAATAAGTTATAAAATATATTATATCCTTATGCCATGAATAGCAAAAAGTTATATAATTTCATTCGTTCATATGATTTATATTTTATGATATAATATATTCTGTTATTATTAAGAACTTGTATATTTGAAAGATATATTTGTTTATGTGTTAAAAAAATATTAAAATTATATATTTAAGATATTAAATAATTAGTGCTTTAATTTACTTTAGATACACATAAAAATTACTTTGTCTTACCTTTTTATAAATATGCATTTATAATTAAATGTATGTATGCTTTATATGAATTATAAATATAGAAATATATACGTTATTACCGTATATTATATTGTGCATTTTTCCCATATTAATTGTTACTTCATATTTAATCAACAGAAATAGCCTATAATCTATTCATATATAATACATATATATAGCTACAATTAATTTTAATACCGTGCTTTCTATTTTATATATGGGATTAATGAAATAACAACTCAATTAATTAAAATCATAATAACATTAATATAGAATGTGCTTATGAAATTTAATAGAATTATAATTGTAATATTTAAATTTTTTTTAGAATATGTTAAAATGATCATTATGCTTGTGAATAATAATATGTCTTCTATTTATCATTTAATTTATAGAAAAATTTTACTTTTTTGTTTTTATATATAATTATATGATTAATTCTTATTTTGTATATAAGTTAACCATCTAAACATACAATTAAATATGAGTAAAAAGGTAAGAATGTAAAAATTAAACAGTATATTTAAATACTTATTCGATAAAAATGAATATTTATTAAAAATATTCATTTATTTCCAATATATATATGTATGAAAAAAAATATTGATTTTATTAATATATATGATTACAAAAATGTTATATTAAGTAAATAATTTATTATAATAATATTATATATATATAAATTATACAAAATATAATACGGATAATTTTGTATTTCCATATAATTTCAGAGTTATATATTTTCTCTTCAGATTATATAATAAATATTAATAATTACTTCCCATATCCATAACATATGATAAAATCATTTTTTAGCATATATGAAGAATCAAATAAAAATATAAATTTAAAAATTTATTTTAAAAATTATTCATTGTGTATTAAAATATATTTTATATAAATATAGTGTTTCATAGGATGGTTTTACATACAAGCATTTATAATTATAAATAAATGAACTTTATTTTGTGTAATTTACATAAAATATAATAATGTCCACCTTAGAAGATGTACAAAAGGAGAGCTCTTACTTTTAATATTAATTACAGTTTATGCTAAATAATTTGAAAATGGTTGCATGTATATAATGATAAAAAAATATACATTTTTATAAATATTACTATAATCTTTTATATACATAATGTCTTTTTTTTTAGTTCAACTTTAAAGAACTATTTCCTACATGTATGAATGTATATGATGAGCTTGCAAAAAATAAACCAAGGCCTTATGATTCAAATCTTAATGAGCCGTATAAAAATATTCGAAAAAAATTGAATGTTGAAACGCAAGATGGGAAATTCATATCACATTGTAAAGAGCTTATAAACTATTTATACTATATAAAAGACAAGCAAAATTCTGATGTAAAAAAAAGATGTAATTATTTAAATTATATGTTAAAACATGTACTAAAAACAAGTAAATGCAATGACAAAAACTCAAAAACTTTTTACGATAAAATTATTGGAGAAAGAGAAATAAGTTATATTATGAATTCTTCTAATGTATGTGAATGTTTTATTCAAGATCTTGACAACAATATATTTTCAGTATTGTTGGAACTAAATGGATTATATGAAATAATTTCAAAACCAGGTTTGAAGAGCTATAAAAACAAATATTGTTATGATATGTACAAGGAAATATCAGGAATATATGATAACTCAAATAACGAATGTCTTCGTAGAGTGGTAAAGAATTTTAAAAAGGAAAATATGGCATATTTTCCTGAAGTACAAGAATGGCTAGAAGTCCTTGCATCTTTGAAAAATTTGCGAATCATTAATTTAGCTTTAATTATTACATGTTTTACATTATTATTGGTAACATTCTTTATGTATAATATATATGACACATATATTAACTTCTATAGAGCATAAATGAATTAAATTTTACGTTACACATAATCATGAAAGAATCGCATAAAAAAAATAATGCATTAATATATATGATATTTTTCCTACATTATCTGTATACTTCTTATGGTTCTTTCTTATAACTCATAGTTAGTAAGCTAAGGATAAAGTGGAACAAAAAGAATAAAGATCATCTCAATATAAATGATTCATTTGATTTGACATACAAAAATTTGATTGAAGATAAGTACCAAATAGGACGCAACTCCATAGGCTACACGTGAAGAAAATATAATTTGTACTGAAAAATTCAACATAGTTTCATTTAAACAATAAATTAAAAGAAATATTATTTTACAAAAACAAGTATAAAAATTAAAATATATGGAATAATTATTTAAATATAATGATAATATCACGTAAAAATTATAATTATTTTATAAAGTATGGTAATAAATGAAATATAAATTTTTATATATTTCCCAATAATGCAAAAAAATTTTCGTGCTTAAAAATTATTGTAAAAACATATGATAATATATAAACATAAATGAAAATTATTATTTATTATTAATGCTAATCTAATAATTGAAATGATAAAATTCGAATAATGAACAGTGTTCATAAGTTTTATTTATAGATTTCTAGATTTTTTTCTATAACTAATTAAAACAAGAAACATAAATATATATGTAAAAAAAAAAAAAAAAAATGAAATATACATATACTAAAACACATTATAAGTATCATAATAATGTATAAAATATGAAAAAAGTGCATAAAAAGAATAGTGAATTTTGTTATTCATACACTAATAATCAGTGCATATTATCAGTGAAAACTGTTTTTACCTAGCATAGAAACATCTTATTAGTGTACAAATAAATAAATTTTCTTATATTCATATATTGAAACATGAAATATTATTAAAATACTCCCATAATATTTATGTAATTTGCATATATAGAGAGAATCTTTTGATAGAAAATAATAAGAATCATGCATAGAAATACAAAACAAATCAGTTATTTCAAATTTGACATATAATACCATATATACATTAAATAATATTAGCAATATTACTGTTCATTATATTCATAAATTGACCTTTGTAGGTTATATCATTCAATAAATA